CTTGGCGAATTGCTTTTATCTTTTCGGACGAGTTGGAGATCGGTGTCATACAGACGGCTTTGAAAGGATACATGGAAGGTTTGATTTTTTTTCGGACTAGATCAGATGCTAAGGTGTAATAGTGAATGTAAGGCACTGCGCTACCACAGTAATCTTTACCACTGTAATTCGTAGAGAACTATGGATGAATAAGAACCCATAGGTACTTTCCAAGCTCTTCTTCTCTCCGAAGGTGATTTTTAGGTGTGCGGAAGTCCCGCGTTTCTCAAGGTATAGAATATTTATGATGCTCTCAGCGGCCAAAAGGCCTCCCCAAACCTATGCCTCACGTTGAATAAATTTACAGCATGAAGCCTCTGAGATACTTAAACTAAGTTCAACACTGTCCTTCTGCTGTAGGCTCCTTCCTAGAACTCACGAGGCATAGGTTGCTTGTTTGTTTGCTCCCACCTAAAAAAGGGCGAGTTCCTGATCAGAACTCTGCCGAGAATCTCGATATTGTCGACCTTTATTCGGTTCTTGCAAAGAGGCTGGTAGGCTCCTAGAATAGTTATCCAACGTCTTCTTGAAGCAGTGATGTCCATTGAAAGGTGATGTGAAAATTGTGGTGGAGAAAAGTTCAAGCTGAGAACTGCTCCCACCTAAAAAAGGGTGAGTTCCTGATCAGAACCCTCTACTGAAGACAGACCCCGCGCTCAACCAATTCTTGGGATTCCTCCCTTGCCCAGCAGTCCGTTGCGTAATCGATGTGGTTGTCCCGCGTTCGCGGCCGCACATACTGTACAGTGTACCGTATACCGTGCACAAATGCAACTTCTGATGGCCGCAGTGCCCTCGTTACTCGTTGTGGAGCCACAGAAGTGGAACGACCTCTACGATTACGCATCAGACTACGTGGACAAGCAGGGAACTCCTGGAAATCGCTTGAGCGCTTGGTCTGTCTTGAATGTCACTGGGTAACAGGTGATATAGGCTAACGGGAAACGAGGGCTTCCGAAGTAGGCAGCACTTGGCAATCCTTTATTCGAAATTTCACATCTCCTCGAAATTTTTCTAGGAGGTACTTTAGCTACAAATGCGCGTTCAGAAATAGTTCAAATTCACCTATTCAATGAGAATATGACCTTTGCTTGAGGCAGAAAGGCCTGACAAATTTTCTCTTGAAGAGCTCGATGAAGAGAGGTTTGGAACATTTCTAGTCATATCTACTGCTATACTTCTGCTCCACCCAAACCAAGTGTGGAGTCATAGTGTAGGTGGTGCCAAAAGAAAACAGCAGCAATTACAACTGGGAAGCCAAGGATGAATGCAGGGTTTGGAACTAGTGTTTAAGTGGTTAACAACAATTTATGTCGAGACATTTTTTTATACTCATTTCACAGCAGGGACCTGGAAATGTCATTGCTTCGCCAATTGAAGGAACACAACAGGTATTCTCTCAGTCTCTTGAGCTTTCCTGCGCCATTTCCAGGTGCTATGCTGGAAGCGGCAAACATAGAGTGATTCCGATGGAGACCACTAATCTCATAGTGGTTGGTCGCTGTCCCGGTTGTTGAGTGCTCTATTAGGCTGCGAAGTTTAGTGGTCGAAAGCTGCCGAAGGCTGGCATAAAACAATTTCTTTCGTGTTCCTTCCTTTCTGTGTCGTGGCGACTCCGCCCACTCTTTCACCGCCTCCGTCGTCTTCTTCGTATGACAACTGCTCAACGGCAAATCGATCTGCTGCTTAAAACCTGCCACTCATTATATCGCTATGAATTATTCGATTTTCACCCAAATGCTGAACCACTAAAGTTCATTCACTGATCTGTTGCCGGATGGAGTTGTCTATGTATGTAGCGATGTGGCGCCTTATCGTAATCCTAGGATATCTTATCCCTGGAGTGATCAGTCTGTCCTGTAAGCCTCGTGCTGGTGGAACGCCAGTACCGCTTGGAGTTTTTCTCACAAGCAAACTACCTCATTCACTTGGTCAACAGCCGTTCGACGCTAAACCTGCAATAAAGTTAGCGTTGAATTATATTCAAAATCACTCATGTATTCTCGACGGTTTCAAACTGGAACTGATCTACAAAGATACTCAGGTGAGATACTCTGACTACTTTCTGGTGGTATTACTACTTTGCTTCTCTGAATGAGCAACTCTTTGTTGAATTTCTTTTTTTCCTTCCCTATCATCAAAATATACTTATGCGTAGGAAAACTCCAAGGTAATCTGGCGTGCAGAATGCTGACTGGACTTTGCCTGCTTCGTCTTTTCCAACATTTCCGGAAGCGGAATCAACTTGAGTTTCCTGAATAACCGACACTCCCTATTGAAATGCTCTCCAACGCGGTTAGATTGCTGTTGTCAGAAACTGCTTGTAACTGGTAGACTTTTGACTGTACTGGCACAAAAGACGTGATTTTCCACGCATTCTTTTTTTTCCAAATCGAACACAGAATTCCAATCTCGCTTTTTGTGAAGACTACCTACTGGACCATGAAATACCTACGGATTTCAGCAGGGAAATAGATTTTCACTGACAATTTTCGCTTAACACAAACATTTGGAACGGTGCACACTCTATTTCCCAGAGATGAGGAAGGCGTGGCTGCGTACTCCACGTGAACGTGGTAGCGGTTGCGCTTTTAGTGGGATACTGCCGGTTGTGGCAATCGTAATCACGTAATTGTACAGCGTGAGATAGAATGACAGCTGTCTCACCGGGAAATCATCTCATGAAAAACACATTCTACGACCATGTTCGAATGGAGCTCCGTAGCCTGGCCCCCCTCATCTCTGAGATATGCGGTGCACATCGTTAAAAGTCACATCGAGTTGAAATTATTAGGTCGTCGATGGTATCGGAAAAGAGTTTTTAGCATCACAAAGGTGTTTCTGGTTCAAAAGAAGCTCAAAATAAGGACTACATTCCGCTCCCGTGCTCACCTGTGGCCATTGCGACGGCTTTGTTAGGGTTTTTCCTTGCAGCTGCAGCTGGAGGATGGAGCGCCTCATGCTCTGTGGAACCTGAATAACCTCGATGGTAATGATGTAGTCATTTTCTCAGAATCTTTGGTTTAGATGCTTGCTCGTTTATGATTGCTATGGTTGAACAGGTTGCTTAGCAGGCTTTGGAACCTTGCTTTTTTCGGGATTCATACCTTCTTTATGTAGTATACAACTTTGGGCCAAGGCAAAGCTTAGCTAATCTCATGAGCTTTTCTATTATCAGTTAGATTCTCAAACATCTGTGTGCGATCGCTAGGGAATCATCCTCAGCGATAGCACATAGAGGGTTCTCCTCGGAAAGGTATCTCTTGCTTCACTAGGCTGGGTTGTCAACTCGCTTACTAGCTGAAGGGGCCGGAATAAGTTCCCCTTTCTGTAGAAGCAGAGAATCTCCCTCCAGTGGGACTGGTTCTCCAGTGCCAAGTACTGGAAGGATGACTCCGGCAAAAGGGTCACTTTCTTCGTCGTCTGACAATGAGAACAACCTGGAACCGAGGAAAACCTTGGAAGGTCGATGCCTGGCCACTATCTTACTATGGCATATATTCCTTTTCTAGAACTGCTTTTCAATTTTATCATTTGGAAGAGAGTAATGTTCCATCGAATCCTGGAAACTAAAACATCCGAAAAGTACAGTCCTCATCATTGCGGACCGGTGGGGCGTGCCAGCCAGAAGGAGTGCGCACACTGTTGAAGCCGTTCTCAGCCTTTTTTGTTGCAACGCGTATGCGACAAAAAGTGGTAGAAAACGAGTAATACGAAGGATATTATACAGTAATGCACTTGTTCGCTTCAAAAACTGGTGCAGAACGACTTTGCCAAACCGCACCAAATGCAGCCGCACTGCCACGCCCACCGGTCCGCAATGATGAGGGACTGTACAGCCCAAATCAGAAATTCACCATATCTCAAGTCCAGTACACTAAAAGCTGCGAAAAATTCCAGCGCACAAGGTTTTCCTCAATGGAACCAGGACAACCCTGGAATCGCGAGCTTTTTGCTAGACATTTTTATCGCATGCACTTTACTATAATTGTGCATTCAATAGTTTTAATGAGCTCCTTTAGATCTTTTTGGTCGAAGCAATTTTCCCTCTCCCTATGGGCAACACTCTCAAGGAGAGTCTCCCCTCTTTCTCTTCAATTTTGATAGCAATGGAGAATTTCAAGCGACTTCTGGGAAAATGATGAAGCACCTCGGGTATAACTGGAAAACGTCTGATCGGGAATGCACAGATTCTAATAGCAGCGCCTTCCTACTAGATTGAAAGAGGTTGGTCGCTATTTCTCGGGTAGGAAAAATAACAAGGAACCAGTGACGAATGAACTACATATGCGAATAACGAATAGGTTATATTTACTAAATAGTAT